ATATGTCGCGTCGCAAGCTCGCGTGTGCACGTCTACGTGTACGAGTGCGAAATTTCACATGTACTATTTTCACCGGTCGCTTAGCTGGAGGAGGGCAAGAGATTGTCGCCTCACTGCACAGGCTCCATAGGAAATGAATGGAGAGCGAGCGACGTCGCCTCCCATGTGTCAAGCCCTTTAGACTAAAGGTGTGTGTTCAGAGATTCACAGGCTACAGCATGAACGGACGGTTGATCTGCGTGTCGGGTCGGTGCGAGAACCTTTACCCCTCAGATGGAGGACACATCATCGTGGAGAAAACGGACTTTGCTGAAGGTTGGGTTGTAAAAACAAAGAATATAAATCTCAAACAAATGTTTACCCATTTTCTGACACTCATCAGAGGACAGCTGTGGCTACACTGTAGCTTACCACCATCACTGTGTGAATGTGTAGAGCACGTAGTCTCAAACGTTTTGGGTCTTGGGACCGCTTACAAGGGTAAAAAAATTTCCAGGGACCCCCTTATAAACCTCATGCTGTTTTAAAAATAGTTTACTGTCATTTTACCTCCTAAATGCCATGAGAGCATTATCTATTGTTTGGTTTAGTTTGTTTGTTCTACTAGTGTATTGTTCTCTATATGCTTTTTTTAAAATAAAAATCAAATAAACAATTTATTGAAGATTTTTGAGGACCCCCAAGATATGACTCGTGGACCCCTGGGGGTCATGGGACCCCAGTTTGAGAACCTCTAGTGTAGAGTGTAGGGACTTGATAAAGCGCTATATAAGCTCAGGCTATTTACCATAATCTCTTCAGCAGGTTCTGGGTCTGACCCGCAGTCTCCTCCCGGTGGGATGTGCATAGAAAAGCCAAGTTAGACGATTAAATGTAAAAACGGCCTGCCATACACGAGAGCTTCCTTGTTSTCACACTCAAGTCCTGATACAGGTTTCTAAATTTATGAATGGAAAAAGATTGCAATTTTTAAATATAAAAATTTATCTTAGTCGTAAATTCAGGAAGGTTCTAGTCTAATCCAAATCTGAAGTCTACCTGACCAATCACAGCTTATCCAGACTACGCCAACAACCAAGAAACTCCCACTTAAGGCCCTGTCACACAAGACAACTTATGAAACGATTTTTATGTCTAAATTGTTAATAAAAGTTATATATTTGATCAATTTGTTCAAATTATGCTATGTACATATCCAAAAGAAGCTTCCTGTTGATTTTTTCAGTTCCGTCTTCAATGTAGATGTCTTTAACATGTTCTTAAGTCGTCTAGTGTGACAGGGCCTTTAGTGGCTGCAGAGACCACCTTCTCTCAACAGCAGGATCTCATTATTTTCTCTGTCCTGTCTCTTCATCATTTTTAAAAATCATGAGAAAACAGTTAAAGGGCCAATATTATGTGTTTCTCAGGCATATATTTAAATACTATACCATAATAAAGTATATAAGTTGCCTTTAGCTGTTATTAAAATGCTGTTTTTATGTTTAAATAGAAAATAAACTTATCTTCTCATCACTTCCTCTTCTAAACGCCTTGAAATTGGTCTCTGTCTCTTTAAGAACCACCTTCTGCTTCTGTTCCGTCCCGTTTGGTGTGTGTGTGTGTGTGTGTGTGTGTGTGTGTGTGTGTGTGTGT